GGTAGTACCCCCCCCCCCCCCGGGGATAACTGATTGGTATATCTTACACACTTATTTTCATTCTTACTCTCAGTCAAGCCTATASTATCTCAGCTTTTTATAAATCGAAAAATATTTGTTGTTCGACAAGATCTTTAAGAAAGCTTAACATGGTGTTAACTCACCTGTGTCAACAGAATCTTTTATTTCTTTCTCTTGTTCAACACACTGTTTCAGCATTGGGTACAACACATTCCATGGTTTATTCACATCTGTATTTGACAATATCAAGAACAAAAGTTGTCAGAAACATTACATAGTATACTTAAAACTTTTATTTATCATCAATTAATGCAGTAACTGTCATCTAAATCTACATGTATATCATAAAAAGCTTGACATAATATAAATTTAGATTCAGATGTTCTCAGATTAAAAATCTTTTGAAAGTATGAGTGAGTGAATGTTAGTGTCGGCTAAGTGTTGGTAAAGCATTGGTCGACCATTGGGGAACGTACATCAGTCAGCCAACTATTGACTGACATGTGTCGGCTGGTCATAAACTGTTACATGATTATCATACATTGTAATTATATATAATGTACAGATACTTTCATCAAACAAACATGTCACATTAACAAAACTGTTATATACTGATATCTATAACATAACACAAATGATGACTACATACCATCTTGTACACACTTGAAGTCAGTAGCAGATGCATTGAATAGTGCTAATGCATTGCAGGCGTCTGTCCATGCTGTATGGAATAATGCATTAGGTATTGTTGCATCAGTAGCATGTCCTATTAGTTCGTTACGGATTTTTTTAAGATCATCTAACGCTTTACTTTCAGGACTGGAAGGCAGCACAAATTGCAAAGATGAATATCGCAGTACTGAGGTGAGAAGTGAGAAGTCCCAGTCATTTGTGTTTCCTGAGTTAAACTTTGTTTCTTCATCTTTGAACTTGAATTTCAGTTTGGATGGTTGTATTTTTTTCATTTCTGCTGCATCATGTGGTGTGTCTTGCCAAGGGGGTGGTACTGTACCAGGTCTAACACGCTGGTATACTATTGGCCACTGTGTCTTGAAATACTCTCTTAACTTTTGGTTCCCAACACGGAACAACAGAAGAGTCAAGCTGAAGTAATTACCTCTGCAAAACACCAAATTGAAAAAAAAAAATTATTAACAGTCTGAAAAAAGGGGCTTTTTCAGCACCATTTGTAATAAGTTTTATGGTTGGTTTAAAAAAATACATAGGATTATAAAATGACAATAAATTGGTCTTCCAAATAATTAAACTAAACCTCAAAAATCAATCAAAAAAGGATGACTCCAATTCTCCAATTCTTCCTCACAGATGCTTTTAACGCAGATTGTTTTAACACAAAAACCAGAATATGTGTACAATAATTTAATGCAATAAACAAATAATAATTTAACTAGAACTAATTATTTAATAAAATTTGCTTGTAATATAATATAATTTACTTCAAGGAGGCAGGAAGTGTTTGCTTAGTCTCTTGAGCCAGATGCTCACTCGTAAGCCCTCGACACCCATCATATTGGAATTCAGAACTTGATTTTTGCCAAATGAGGAATGAAAATTCACCCACCTTTCTTCTT